AGTTTTATCGTTTATAGAAAAGGCAGAATTAATTACATGTTTATTACACGTTAATTATGCATCGATTGGTTACATCGTGAATTTTCCCATGTTGCGATGCTTGGATGTTCGCTAGAGTGAATTATCACGAGCTTGTGGATAAATACTTTGAACGAGTTGGGAACTGCTTATGGCGAGTGTGTAGCATCGCGAATGTGTGACGAAATGTAAATAACTATCGTTACTGTATATACGGCAATCCGACGAGTATGATGTTTAGTGTAACAAGTCAATTTCAGCACTGTCTGAATTTTCTGCCTTCCGTTTTGTATACGAAATTTGGTTGGCAGCCTTGAACATTTGTCTCGGACGATCTAAGGGGGAGGCAATGACCGGAGCTTGCCTTCAAACAATATGAGAAACGGACGCCGGTCGATCAAACGAGCCAGTTAACTTCGAAACAATAAGCTAAACTTGGCAGATTAATAACCGAAAGCCAAAAATATCGAATAAATTCTGCTTCAGAAGCAATAAATTTGAACGTTTTCTTAGAATGTTTTAGAATTTCTTCCAAATGTAAAAAGAAGTACTACATATATTATATATATTGTATATATATAAATATATATATATATATTTATATGTACATATATAGTACTTCTTATAATAGGTTATAATGCTACATATATTATATATATTGTATATATATAAATATAAATATACATATATATATATATATATATTTATATGTACATATATAGTACTTCTTATAAAAGGTTAAAATTTCTTCCAAATGTAAAAAGGAGTGCTACATATATTATATATATTGTATACATATATATTTATATGTACATATATAGTATCATCTTATATATTTATTTATATATATTTTTATATATAGGGAGATACACTGTATATTGTGTATATATCTATTTTTTTATATATCATTCCTTATATATATATTTATTTATTTATATATATTCTTATATATAGGAAGATACACTGTATGTTGTATATATATATTTTTTTTTATATGTATATATCACTCCTTATATATATATATATATATTTATTTATATATATTCTTATATATAAGGAGATACACTGTAGATTGTGTATATATATTTTTTTTTATATGTATATATCACTTCTTATATATATATATATATTTATTTATTTATTTATATATATTCTTATATAGGGAGATACACTGTATATATATATACTGCGTCGATAGTACAAGCAAAGAGGAAATAATTTTATACGAAAAAAATAAAGAATAAAATAAAAGAATAAAATTTCTTCGCTCGTGGCATTGTTTTCGATTGAATCGGTTTTGAATATTCTCCAAGTATAATATGAAATTATTTCCGTGCAAATGACAATGATAACGAACTCTGAACCGATTTTGAATACAAGATGGGGAAATGTCAAGTTAGCCATCAGTTATCGAAATGTTACTTTCCACGCGTCGACGGAGATAAAATTATTTTATCGAAGGTTTCACGTGTATACTGTACGGTACGACGGAAGCATCTAAGCGGCAGGTAACAACCTAATCCATAGTTCGACATCCCTACGGCATCGAGGAGTACGCCGAGCCCATAAATAATTCAAGCAACAGTTACCACGGCAAACAATCTAATTCGCCGTTAAAGCTCGAGCACCGTTCCCTCTCGCAATTAAACGTAGCTCCTCCGTTTTCCCGGTTCTCGCTATCTGCGCGCCATATCCTCCAAAGGCGTCTGTTCCGTTCTATTCTGATTTTTGTACAGAGTGTATCATACTTTGCTTTTGGAGCTGTTATTAATTTCGAAGAATTTAATAACCGTGTTTTTTTTTTTTTTTTCTTTTTTTTTTTTTTTTTTTTTTTTTTTTTTTAATAATATCACACGAAGTTGAGTGAAAGGTCTCCAAACGTCTTAAAAAATTTTTTTCACGTCTAGGTTTTTGAAAGCTGTTACATTTTCATTCGAACTTGAATACTGGAGTTAGACATGTGTTGAAATTTCAATAAAACGATCGTGTGGTAAGTTTTCAGGAATCGTCGTAGAGAAAGGAAACTTCGGTCCCGCGAATCTGTTCGTGGAAAAACGTTTTTCAACGTTTCCAGAGATGTTCGAATTTTTACAATGCTCGCCGTGCCATTCGCTATTCGAAAAAAATGAACTCAGAGCGCTTTATGTTTGAAAACGATGCCAAACGGACTATCGCGTGTTTCTTCTTCTTCGTTCTTCTTCTTTTTTCTTTTTTTTTTTACAAACTCGTAACAGTTTCAAATTGACAATTTTAGTCACGCTCTTCGCTGTTATATTCCAGAATTAAAATTACTCGACTTCGCTCTCCAGTAACTTCACTGATCCAACAAGAAAGTTGTTCCAGAAAAACGATATAAATAAATAAATAAATTTATGTATACCGTACACGTTGGCAAAAACTTTCACTCGAAATGTTTAGTTACACTTCACGCCACAAATTACTTCCAATGAAACGAAGAGCGTGTAAAAATCGAGCCGCAAGGTGGTCAGCAATTTTTATCTCGACGATTCCTCGTGTATCACCCTGTGCATCTTCCGTTTTCTCTGACTTTCGCGAGACTCGGGCGAAATTACTTATACTTGCGGTGCAGCAGCCCGGCGGATGATCAGCCGGCGATAAACGGTGTGCAACCTTCTCGCGTCGTGCGTTATTAAGGATCTCGATTATTTCGAGAGGATCGTTTCGCCGATTACGTGCAACACCGTGAGGTATACGAGGGGATTGGAGGGGGAATATAATATGTATCGCGTTGTAAAGGGGTCAGAGCCAGCGTACGTCGAAAGGAAACGCAGGAGCTGTGCCGGCACCGCAGGAGGAAGCACACGGCTCCGCTCTGTTTCCGTACGCACATGCGTGACAGACACGCTAGCGTGCACGCGCGCGGCACTAACCTTTCCCCAGCTGGGATTCATCGTGGTCGCCCGTGCCCTTTCTTCGAGAATGAACGTCTTCTCGTTCGAAAAAGAGGGAAACGTTCGTCTGGCAAATTTTCTAGATTAAATTCTATTGAATTAAAATAATCGAACGATTTTATTATTATGATATTAATTTTTATATTATATTATAATAAATTATATTATATTATATTAAATTATATTATATTAAATTATATTATATTATATTATATTATATTATATTATAATATTATATATTATATATTATTAAATTATTATTATAATAATTAAACGATTTTATTAAAATAGAATAGAATTTCTTATAACATAACTGTAATCTTATAACATTATTAATCGTATAATATTATTTTGCTGTATTATATTATTATAATATTTACTTTTGTAATAATTAATTTATAATAATTAATATAGTAAATATTACAATAATTATTTTGTATTATTATATTACAATAATTAATTAAATTCTATTGAATTGAAATAATTGAACGATTTTATTAATATGATATTGATTTTTATATTATTATTATATAATGTAATATAATATTGTATTATATATAATAATATTATATTATATTATAATATTATATATATTATATATTATTAAATTATTATTATAATAATTAAACGATTTTATTAAAATAGAATAGAATTTCTTATAACATAACTGTAATCTTATAACATTATTAATCGTATAATATTATTTTACTATATTATATTATTATAATATTTACTTTTGTAAATATTATAATAATTAATATAGTAAATATTACAATAATTAATATTATAATTAAATTCTATTGAATTAAAGTAATTGAACGATTTTATTATTATAACATTGATTTTTTTATATTATTATATATAATAATATTATATTATAATATTATATATATTATATATTATTAAATTATTATTTTAATAATATATTATATTATTATAATAATTAAACGATTTTATTAAAATAGAATAGAATTTCTATTAGACTGTAATCTTATAACATTATTAATCGTATAATATTATTTTACTATATTATATTATTATAATATTTACTTTTGTAAATATTATAATAATTAATATAGTAAATATTACAATAATTAATATAATAAATATTACAATAATTAATTTTATAATAACTATGTTATATTATTATAATATTTACTTTTATTATATTATATTATTATAATACTTATTTTTGTAAAATTATCGTATGAAAAACACGGAAGAAGAAGGATAGTATTCTTATATTTATACTATCTTTGTCCTTCACACAAAATTGAAATTAAAATATCCCCCAAACCAATGACTTTTTAACATATGTAGGTTCATACTTTTTTCGTAAAGGATATCAAGGTGCGTCAACTGACGCAATAAAAAAATATATATGTTTCCATTTAAAAAGAAAACGTCAATGACCTTCGTGTGTCCTCTACACGTCCACCTGCAGGAAAACTAGTAATCATCGAAATGTGCCCCTCCCGAAACCATTCAACTTCGTCTGAAACATTTTTCGCTACAATGACGTAAATCTAGATGGCAATATGTGGCGACCCACCCTCTATAGATACATATAATCATCTCTTCGATCAACAAACAAAATTCTCTCCGTCATCTCCGATCTTCTTCAAACGTATATTCCTCGATTCTGCTGATCTTCTTGCCATCGATCCACCGGCGAGAGGATCAATCACGTCGAGCTTGCTCAACGCGTCACCCCGATTCGCCCGGTCGTGTATATATTTAGCCGAGATGCATACGTACCTCTCGCCTTTCGAGGGATACACCCTCGGTTTCCCTTTCACGCTGCCCGCAACGAGGGAAACACAAACGGGGCGAAAAGTGTAAACGAGCGCGCCGAGCGCGCCGATTTCACTTGGTCGGCCATCCTCCTTGTTTATCTCGAAATAACGTTCCTTGGCGGCACATGGGCGTTTCTTCTGGCCGCTGCCAGATGCGTGGGTGGTGGCGGCGAAGAGAAGAGAGAAGAGAAGGAGAGCACGAATGACGGTCACATGGCATCGTCGCGGACTCCTCTTCTGCCCTGACTTACTGTCAGTATTCCGTGAAGTGTTGTGCCGTAACTTGCGCGCGGCCCGCAACCCCACGCAAATCGTTTCTTCTTCTTTCCTTCTTCCTTATTTCATCGTTTCCCAATCCTCGTCTCGAAGACACAAATCGTTCTTTTCGTTCGCGTTCGTCTCTGAAGAAGCGTCACAGTATTTTTTTTTTTTTTTTTTAAGAAAGAAGAAGTCAGATTCATTTGTTTACTCATTCCTCGCGAGCAAAAAGGAAACATTCGTACAGAAGGTGATGCAATTATAAAGATTTTAAACGTGGCGAGGTATGAGACCGACAATGAGTGAAAAATTACAAGGGGATACTCAGTAATGAGCGTTTAATTGATGGAAATGAATGGTTAGAAGGAATCGAGTTTTCCAATAGCGATGAAGTGTTAAGGAGTTTGAGGAAGTTTGATCGAACTCGTCACTTGGTGGGAGATTGCTTCTCTGAAATTGAGAACGAACTGGATGGAAATCGACATTCTCAGGACGATAAGGGACTGTTGAAGACGATTGATGACGGAGCAGTGTCTGGAGAAGCCATGTTTGAGGCAGGAGATCCTTGTTTGAGGAAGAAACGCTCGGCACAGATGGCTCGGGACAGAGACGTTAACGCAGAAGGAACTTGAAGGGCGGATTAAAATTGGATTTCTCCCCCGATAACGTCGCGCGATGAGGATTTCCAGATACCTCGACGCTTGTCTCTTCGACGACTTCCGGCTCTGAACGGAGGAAGAGCAATCACGGAACGAATTCTCGATGAAAATCGAACGAAATTCCCAAACTTCTCTAAAATGCGTCTTCTCCGAAGACTCGTCGCATTTGAGAAGATACTAAATGGGAGATTTAGACGCAACCGATTGTGAGAATGAAAACATAAAAATCGACTCGAAGATCTCTCGTGTTCTCTGCTCGAAGAAGAAGGAAGCAATCGTTTTCGATAGAAAATCTCCTCTCGAGATTCTCTTTTCAACTCGAGCACGAGTATTTCGGTTTGACTCGGTTTGGGGGAGTTTGGAGGTCGGTTCGTCTAAAGATAGGAGTTCGAAGGTCTTCGCGTAGGAATTTGCGAACCGTTTGAGGAAGTCGGGCCAGGTTTGAAGAATTGAAAAACGAAGAAAATCAAACTCACGATAAATAGGAACATCGGATAGAACGTCGGATGTAATGATATAACGATCCATCCATGACGAATTTAATCGTGTCTGGTTAAATTAATTTAATGTGAAAGATCGGCAGAGACGATGATGAACGAAGTGTGTAAAGGCGAGTGCCAGAGGGAATGCAAAGTAGACGCGAGAAACGACGCGAGGGAGGGAAAACGTTGAAAGGAATATTCTAATTGGCGTTGGCCACTTTTGGAGAAGTGCGTCGAAGTGGAACGCGAGGAAAAAGCCGGGCCGCGTTCAACGTTGCCTGAATTGCGCCTACTTTGACTTCGAGGATCCACATCGGATATAAAAGAAGAAGTTATCGAAACGTTTCGAAGGGTTTCTCGTTACCAACGAATAACGCCACCTTTTATGCACCGTCCGCGTCCACGTTCGTACAAAAACATCACGTAGCCACCTCGAGTGACCTTTTCTTCGATCGACGATCGACGCCCCTCGAAATTGAAAATCGAATCGTGGAAAAGTACTAGCAGGAGGCACGCCTGAAAATGTACGAGACGATTTGTAGCGAGTAATAAAAAAAAAATGAGTGGACTTTCTGAGAAGCAGCTTTGAACGATCATCTGGGAGATATTAAAAGTAAGATGATTATCGTTTTTATATCCTCAGCTTTTTATTATTCGTTCGGGGATACTTGACACCTCTCGGGGGTGAGGTTTTCTTTCAAACTTTTTTAAATATAATTTATTAATTTTTTAATTTTAATTTCCTTTCGAAACGAGACAACTGAAAAAATTGCTTTCACAAATTCATGAAAATGACGCAAGCCTGAGATAAGGTAGATTTCGAAAATAACATCGTTTGTAACATCGTTCGTTTATGGAGATTGATCAACACGACATCCGATGGGTTCACTTATTGCTCCGACACTGCATTAAGGCGAGTTTGTTTACAAAAATAATTCTCTCGAATCGATTTCCTCGATCGTGGAAGATTATTATTCCCCGCAACGCCGGAGCACGTGAACGATCAGCTGATCGAATCGTCCACACGTCACTTTCTAAACTTCACTAAAACTTTCTTCCTCAACTTCGTTCAACTCTCTAATCCATTTCTAACGCAAACGCCCTTTCCTCGGATATTCTCAAATGATATTTAAAAAAAAAAGAAAAAAAACGAAGACGCGACCTCTTAATATATTTATCAACGAAATAGAATGTCTTTTCTTTTCCTACAGCATTCGCACGATTATACCGGAAGTCTTCTCGTTTCTTTCTTTTCTCTGTTATTTATCGATTTGAGTATCGTTGCTGAAGCGTTTGAACGAGCGAGAAATAAGTTATGGATCGAGCGTGCTTCAGCGACGTATACTTTTAAGGCGTCCACGTCGAGAAATCTGTACGAATATTCCATTAGGAATTAGGCAGGCAGCTCGCAGTGTATATTAATAGATCGAACCTGACAGCCGAACCTAACCAGACGCTCGAACGTTGCACGCGAATTTGTCTCGGTGATTCTATCGAACCGACCTCGATGTAAGTTGTATTTTTGTACATTTATGTATATATGTTTATATATAGTTCTTTCTTTGTTTATTATTATTTTTTTGTTTTTTTTTTTTTTTTGTTTTTGAGTACATTTCAAATGATACGAAAATTAAGAAGGAACGTTCATACGTACAGTCGCTCGAAAATTTTAGAAAGTGATCGAACGTGAGATTTAAACTGTTGTAATTTCGTGAGAAAAGAAGTCGATCATCATTTTAAAGCTTGAAACCTTTACTTTCAAAATGTGTCGTTCATATTGTTCCAAAATGTTTTTATAATGTATGTAGCGAGTAGAAAAGTGAGGACACTGTGTAAATTATCATAGTATGTGAAAGTAAAATTTTATTTTACAATATCGTATTATTATCGTCGTTTTATTTCACAGAATTTTATTTTACAATATCGGTCAGTATAGACGCAATTCAATCGACGATAAAAATAGTTTGGAATTTCCTCCAGTCTATATACTTCTCGATATCTTAGTTAGATATATTCGTACTCACTTGTTCCTGAACTGTGAACTGTAAACAAGTGTACAATCGTTCGTCGATGTTCCACAAGATAACTCGAGAACATACAAACAGGCTTTTTTTTTTCGAACGTATCAAAAGTTTCCTATTACAAACGGTTGATAATAATCAATGTGCAAATTTCTTACGAAATTGTTAACTGGCGTTAATAAAGTAGAACGTTCGAGCTATTGTAATTACGTTGAATTAATTTCTTGTCTCGTCTGCCATTGTTAATGAATTCAAGTGTCGCTTTAAGAGAAAGTATAGGGGATCCAAAACGTGCTCGAGTCGAATTCGATCGTGAGACCTTGATCCATGAGAAGCATGACATACGCAGAAATGTGGACGATCGGGGGTTGCATCGTGTTGACATAATATATTAATATGTTACATATATTATATTGTTATACATAATCTTGTAATAATATATTGATATTATTGATTATAAGATTTCCGACTCAAAAAAGAGATTGAAGAGAGGTTATCGATTGATTCATCATAAATAATATTAAAATATATGTGACAATATATTGATATCATTGATAAGACTCAAAAGATTAAAGGTTATTGATTGATTAATTATTATGTACAGTATTAAAATATGCAATAATAAATATTACATATTTTAAATATTTACCATTGTAATAATAGTATATTGTAATAATACATTGATATTATTGATTGTAACACTCAAAAAGGTCAAAGAGATTAAAAAAAATTCTCATTTTCGTAATCTCACAATTTTCATTTTCCAAAGAAAGCCGTACAGAAATCAGTACAGAAATCTAGACTTAAGCGCGAGGCTCTGTTCTCGAAGTATAGCTGCAATTCGCACGTAAAACAGTCGAAACGCGAGTAACGACAGTGGGGCAGTGGCCGCTATTTTTGCCTCAAGGTGAGAAAGAAGTTCGTCGATCGCTGCCCTTCGTCAAGCTGAACTGCATCTAATTTGTTGTTGCTACACGGTGCAACACGGTGCAACACCTGCCAACGATGAAGTAAAAAGGCAGGCAACGCATCCAAAGCAACGATGCACGTGCGCGCATTAACTTTTACGCGAGGCCGTCCCTTTACATGTGACGCGTCGTTAATTAACACGAGGTTAATTACGTAGGTAAATTACATCGATCCGTAAATCACCGGGCTGTGTCATGTTTTGCACGTTGCCGCTTCAAGGATGAAGAGCAACCACTGTTTGCACTTTTGTTCAACACTGGTTGCCCCTTATCTCGGATCGTGGGTTTGCGTTGTGGATTATTTTTTTTTTTTTTTTTTGAACACACCTAGCAGATCTTTGGAGATTTTGGAACTTGTTCTCTTTAACATTCTTCTTCAAAAAGAACACACTTTCGCGGACCATAAAGAGTGACCGAACCCGTACACAATAATTCGTCGCTTTCTTTTTCTTTTGAACTATCGTTGGACAGAAATTATTAAGAAGTAATAAATTTATTATCTGTTTCGCCTGGGTTTCTACTTAAATATACTTAAAACTGAGAAAATATTGCA